CGGCCGGCGCTGATGACGTCCCGCGGCACCTGGAGGACGTCATTTGGCCGCCGCTGGTGACGTCACGCGGTCTGATTCTGGTGACGTCACGGCCAGCTGCTGACAGCCGTTCGTCGGTAGCAGTATGTTCTCCAATCCGGCTTTCTATGCTGACGAGGAGTCAGACGAGATTGAGGGTGAGTCCAATACCCGGGGAGACCGGCGAAGACAATTTACGAGTTTTGTTGATTGCCTCCAACTCCTTGGGGGATGAAAAGAAAGCGCAGTAACCAACATTCTCCGGCATATAACAGGAACACAAATGTTAACCACCCCCATAGTTGACAGCAATGTATGAAGACAGGAAGGAGATACGATGCAGCAATTTACTTAAAACAAAAGCATATTTTGACCCAATTTGGGCACCACAATCAAAGAACTTTTCTTTTGCCTTATGTGCGATATCTGAACAGCTAGATTCCAAACCTTCGGCCTGTTACTTGTAACACCGATGTTTTTGTGTCAGTGTCACAAGCCGGCACGTTTTGACGCAAAATGAAAACAAACAAATCATAAGCGAGTGATCGGGTGAACTTAAGCTTTGAACCTTATATTTTCATTTGTGGACTACTTGACATCATAGCCAAGATTAATTCTGGTCTGGTGACTTACAAAACCTCACACATACAGATCCTTCAAGTTTAAGATCAACATCATTAGCGACTTCTCTCTGCGTCGCTCCCCGTCTCAAGAGCACCTGAACCTTGGACTCAGTCAATGTTGAAAGCGGAGGTTTGTGGCGCCAATTACGGATCAAACGCTGCGGCTACCGATAATCCCAAAGCTTTGGTATTCGTATGTTTACACGGAGAGGAACCATTTGAACAGGAGCTTAGTGGTCAAGGCCAACATTGAAGTTGAACATTGTATGGCTTGCCCAATGCCCACAAAATACACCAATGTTATGTTTGAGGGCTGTAAGTTTTATAAGTTCCACTTGATGTGTCCACGTCTTCACTTAACATAGCAAATTTATCATATGAATCATCCAAATTTTCAATTACCGCACTCACAAAACCTGTCAACAAACCGCACAACACTGCATACTGTTCATACTTAAGAGCAAAAGGTACCTATATTTTACCTAGCTAGTACAACTTCATAACTAAGGGTGAACAAATGGAGGCTCAAGTAACAGTTCAAGGAAAGTTTGGAAGGTTGGAAGTGATCTGGGTATTGCGATAATTATCCAAAAGTTATATACATACTCAAATGTAAATGGGAATATTGCATACGCATTTGCATGATTGTAAGCACCCATTTTATACCAAACTTATGCATAAGCCTTACCAATTGGTAAGACTTTATCCAGCCTGTGCACTTTATCTTTATTTTATTTTTCAGCTCGCAGTGCCGTCTTCTGCGGAGCGAGCTAGAGCCCATGTGCAGTTATACCGCGCATATCCCGCTGGGACGCAGGCAGTTTGCAGCTCCGGGAGGTCCACGTTCATAATGCCAAGTCGACTAAAGTTATGTCCGCGGTAGTGCATAACATGACATTCATGCCAAGACATTCATTATTTCTGGGAAGAAATTAAGTGGAACGGCCCTTACACTGACATTTGTTGTCCTAGCCAGAGAAACTACGACTGTCAAATCTGTTCGGAGACTTGGATGGCCTACCCCTCGTTCAGCTGACCTGATCTGACTGACCTGACCTTGCCCGGCAGGTGAGCGGCCTTCGGCTGCCTACAGGCTCTTCCACTGGATCTGCTGTTGCGGCTGCATCACCTACTGCGTCACGTCCCTGCAGAGCTGGCAGCAGCGCACTGCCAGAGACCGCAAGAAGCGCAGCATCCGCGTGATACGGGTACGTCGAACGAATGCCTGACGTGTAGACGGGTAGGCCGTGGCGGACGAACAGATGGACGGGCGGGCGGGCGGACGGGCGGACAGACGGACGGTCGGACGGGCGGGCGGACAGACGGACGGGCGGACGGACGGATGGACGGACGGGCGGACGGACGAGCACGAACGAACGGATAGAGGAACGGAAAGATGGAAGGATACGCGGAGGGATGAATGAAAGGAAAGGACGGAAGGACAGAGGGATGGGGCAGTAGGCACACCAGCGGATAGGCAGTGGGACGACGGATGAACGAGCAAACGACCAAGAGATCACGTGAATGGAGATAGACGGATAGACAATATGATAGATGGACGAAGAGATGGATGGATAGACGTAGACGGACGAAAGGCGGACGAGCATATACGCAATGGCGTGCGTACTTTCACGCACACAGCATTTGCCTGGCGTCTGATGTATGGATCATCAAGACGACCGACGACTGGACATTACTTTTGCGTATACGGTAGCTGACACATGGCTAAGTATTCATAAACACCGTCCTGTGTACTGTTATGACTGACGCCGTATCGTTGCGCAGCTCGGTGGTTCGTCTCTGGGCGGCCATGTCTGCCTGGCTGGTGGTCCTCGGAGGCTAGTTTCCGCGTGCGATCAGTTTATCGATTTATCGGCGACTGTGTGGTGTGTGTGCCGTCGTACGATCAGGTGCGCCGGACGCAGTCGGGACGTAGTGCCAGGGTATCGTAGTGCACTGTGTTCACTAGTAGAGGCCATAGATAACGTCACGATGATGCAACAACGGCAGGCACCCACAGATGATGTCATAATTGCCAGAAGGGGTCTACCGCAACGTCACATCGGCAAAGCGGGTGAAACGTAATACCTGTTTGTGGTAGGGTGACCGCAACGGTAAGTACGTTATGACTTATTAGATTGGGTCGTCGTTCGAGTTATCGACATATTAGCGCAGACATTGTTTCGTGTTAGTTCAGTCCACCGGAAATTGCCCAGCGAGATTGGGTGAGACATAAACCACGACCGTTTTCCAAGTCTATAGCGCGTTTTTAACCCTCGCCGGCCGAGGGGGGCGGGGCGGGTGCCGCCCCCCCATAGGGTTTTTTTTCGCGATAGCTCCGAACACGCTGGCGCTAGAGAGCTGAAAGTTTGCATACCTGACCTTTGGTTCAAGCCAGATCTTTTGACACCAACCGCATTTTTGGGTCAGGTCAGGTCACTGACCTATGACGTCATAAGTGAACCTCTGCACGGTCTTCAGATGTCGCAACTTCGCAACGCCCTCACTGCCAGAAGAGATGTCACAGGGAAATGAAACTTGCAGGATCTAGTATCCATTATGAGTCATTATGATCCATTATGAGTCACAACTTGTGTATCTCGGATTTTTCCTAAAGGTCATATGAGGTCAGGTCATTTTCGTGACCTAACCATCATAAGTCAATGGGGAAAAATGAAAACTGCTATTCTTGCGCCGGGAACGATCTCCAACTATCTCAAGCACACAGAGTCGTGATTTGATGCACTCCTTGCAAGGTTTGATGCGTCACATTTGCAATGTTGACCTTGTGTGACGATGTCATCAAGGTCGTATTCGTTTTTCGTCAATAACTCTTGATCAAATTGAGCTAGCGAGTCGCGAAGGCCACCAATGGACTCAGGAAGACCTGCCGAATCGAATGATATGCGACATGACCTCTTTCAACCAGCTTCGTGACCTGGGGTGCTGACCTGACCTTGACCTGAGGTCAAAACCCTAAGTTGACCTGACCCGAACAAAAAGTATATCATTCGGCGCGCCTGAGCAAGGCGAACACGATGCTGCCAAAATCGCGGCTCTGCGGCCATTTTTTGCGAAGTTATTCACCAAAAACTGAACCATACCTTGGGGCACTTGACCTGACCTCAGAGGTCACCGGTTGACCTATAGGACCTTAAAATCGGGTACCGATCTCTGCGTCTCGTAACGGCGCACACGCTCGTTTTTTTTCCGCGACGCGCTAGCTCCACCAGGGGCGAAACGGCGAGGGGGGCTCGTACCCCCCTCCCCCCTCGGCCGGCGCGTATGTAGAAAACCAATAGGTCCGGCGAGGGTTAAAGCAAGTCAATAGGAAAGTTTAAAACAATAAGATATTACAATAGCAATTTCAAGCAATACCGTAAGAACAAGCAGTAAGAAACCTGATAATCATGACAGCCTTATGAAATAGATGCGTAAAATATGCAGCACAAAATCTCCCATTCCGATCCATTTAACGAATATTTCATAGAGCGTGCATATACATGGAAAACTGCGGAGATTTCGTAAAAGCCATGAAGGTCAAAGGTTGTGTGTCGCGGACTGTAAGAGCCCTGGATGTTACACGGATCACCGCTGCTCTCGTTTGTAGCAGCATGGTTCGGGATCACGGAGAACTAACGTGGGTCGGACGAATGAAATCCGATGCGCAGAGGAAAAGAAGCGAGAGAGGCCGATATGGAAAAAGATGGGAGAGAGGATGAGGGAGGGTGGAAGGTAGGAAGGGATAGAGGGAGAGAGGGAAGGGATGATGGGAGGAAGATAGGAAGGGAAAGAGCGAGAGAGGGAAGGAGGAAGGGAGAGAGAGAGAGAGAGAGAGAGAGAGAGAGAGAGAGAGAGAGAGAGAGAGAGAGAGAGAGAGAGAGAGAGAGAGAGAGAGAGAGAGAGAGAGAGAGAGAGAGAGAGAGAGAGGACTAAGAAAGGAGGAAAAGAGGCTGGCTAAGCTCTATCCACCCTCTCTTCATTTCAAGGCTGGGGATTGCCAGCTAAGGCTTGTCTGGCCTGGGTCGCAAATGGTTCTCCAGCTGCCCTGTGTGCCTCACGTGAATGTCAATGAGGCCTACCACCCTCCGACTCCTTGGCTTAATCTAAGCAAGTGACTTGAATGAGATTTGGCAACACCGCCTGGATTAAGTGCCCACGTAAACAGCACAGTAGACAGAGGTTTTGCGCCCATACGCAGCTACCTGAGCCACCCAGCATTGACCAGCCAGAACCTTGCCGAATTACATGGTATGTAACTACACATAACGACGGTATCATCGATACATTTTCAAGTGGCATGAGTACCAAATGACCAACTATACAGCATAGGTCATTCGGTAGGATTGGGGCCGGGATGAGCCCCAGCCGACCAGCCTGGCTATTTTGAAGTCGGCATGATCACTGCCACCTGATGGTGGAAGCCAATCTGCCCTGCTGTCCGCAACGAGACATTTTGGTCCGGACTTTGGAGATTGAATGAGATGAGTTTTGCGTGGAACGCTCAGTAAAGTCCAGAGCGAAAACTGGATAACTTCGGTACAAATACTTTTATCTACTTGCTGGTCAATATCCTGGCATGTTAGCCCAGTTAACCCGCGCACCGACGGGGGGGCGGATATCCGCCCCCCCCCCTGAGGTTTTTCGCGAATAGCGGGAAAACCGCGGCGCGTAGCGCAGCGAAATTTGGTATGACTATTCCCTCATCAATTTTACACATGGTGTGCAAGTTTGAACCTCCTACCTTTCAAGGTCAGGTCACCAGGTCACTTTGAATGACCCAACCTCAAGTCACTTTTTTGCAACTTTGTCACCGTGCCAGAGCTACAGTAGATGTCGGAGGCCTTTGAAAGTCGCAGGATGTTATTAGGTCATTAGTAGCTACAATTTGTATATCTCGGAATTTTGATATCGGTGACCTAAGGTCAGGTCAATTTCGCGACCTCCCCATTATAAGTCAATGGGGGAAAAATCAACTCCCTGTTTTTACCGTTAAAACGGGTCGGAATGGCCCCATATACCATACATGACTTCATATACGATCAACCTTCACTACCTTGAGGTCTGTTTTGCTGTTGGGCAGCTGTGAGGTCATGTGACGTCATCAAGGGTCACCAAAGGTTTTTGGCCAATAACTCCGTACAGGAACAAGATACAGACGCGTGGATGGTCTCATTGTGTTCAGCTCGTCAAGACGCATCGAATGATATACATGATGACCTCGAGGTCACGTGACCTGGGTCAACCTTTGACCTTGACCTTTCGAGGTCAACATATATATCATTCGATGCGGATTGACGAGAGGATCACGATGATGCCCTTTGTTTGTTCCTATCTTGACTAATTCGAAAGTTATTCGAGAAAAACTCTCTCCATATTTAGCGCCGCCATTTTGACTTTTTCGACCCCTGTGACGTCATCTTTGACCTGACCTGAAAATGACCTTAGTAAAAATTGTAGATCTTGACCGTGCGTATCCGATGCCGTTTACCGCTTGTCGCTATCTTGCTTCGTTCTCGAGATCTCAGGGGGGGGCGGTCATCCGCCCCCCCCCCCCCCGTCGGTACTAAGTTGGCGCAGACCCCCGTCGGTGCGCGGGTTAAATGAATGCCATTGGCAATGTCTTTGATGCCAGAAAACTGCGTATCATTTTGTTAAGAACCAAGTGTCTTGGAACATTACAATCGAGCTCGCCTCGATTTTGTTGAAATGAGCATATTCATAGAGATATCCCATATCGCTAAAACACAGACAAGGACTGCGCAACGTGCAATGTGCAATACTGCCAATTTTCAGTCCAGCATCAGGCAGGACGTGAGGTGGCAATCGATACTCCCAACGGAGACGCGATTCGGCGGCAGCCGAGCTTTGCAACTTGGACAGGCCGGCGTCTTTCATAGAACTAACCGTGACAAACCTCAACGTCTCTTGCCAATTTAATTTCAGGTACATCCAGAATAGGTTGTTACAGCTTACAAGAATTGAGCTTCCGCTCTCGTGGAAAGTTTGTCTAAATCCTCTTACCAAGAGGAACGGTTGTCCTAGGGCTTCATTGGGTATGGTCAAAAATATTAGTTAAGGACATGAAAATCAGGTCTCTGAATGCACCAGTTCCAAATTTGTAATATGCTTCAGTGCTATAATATTTTGTACCTAATATGCTTCGATGTTTCAGTGTTTGAAAGCGTGTACCTGCGTGCTCCATGCGCTGAGATCTTCCTATAGCTAAATGGTCCCAGGGGAGGTCTTACAACGCATTAGCCGTTTTCGCGACGGGCTATCCGGCGAATGCACCTGATTTGACCAAATCTGCACCTAATTTCTTTTACAGCAAATATCTTCATTTTATGAATTCATTTCAGTGTTTTAATCGACGATGCTCTCTGATAATATGACAAAGCAGCAGAGCTGGGCGCGTTCCTCGATTTTCGGTAGTGCGTTAGCGTTCCTGCGTTCCTCCGGCCGCGGTTAGTGCGTTCCTGGAATAGCGTTCCTCAATTTTTTTTCGCTCGGTGCGTTAGCGTTCCTGCGTTCCTGCGTTCCTCCCTCAAAAATACCGCCGAACCACGCGGCGCGGGCCCAACCAAACACGGGGCGAATCGATCACAGAATACCCAGAATGGCGACGTGGGGCCGAAAAGCAGCTCGTCATCTCTTTTCCGAATCGAATATCTGAAATACGTTTTACCAATATCATCCGTAGGGTTTTCAACAAAAATACGACCTGCTTAAAAACAATAGTTAAGTTAAAAGATGTATCTTAGTAAAAGTTATCATATTTACTTTACACATTTAATGCCTGAAACTGAATCGAATAGTAAACATCACCTCTAAAAATCTTTACACATTTAATGCCTGAAACCGAATCGAATAGTAAACATCAGCACTAAATCTAAGCAAGCCTTCCTCGATTCGACCGACAAGTGGCGCCTCTACCGGCAAACACACGTACTCGAGATTCAAACATTTGACACATAGGTCATTGGCAGCAATATAATTTTTCGGGTGGTTCCGCAAGAACGCAGGAACGCTTCAAAATTTCGGGTGGTGCGTTCCTCTTACTTGCGTTCCTTTGAAAAACTTTGCGTTCCTGCGTTCTTGCGTTCCTAAAAAGGGCGGTGCGTACGTACGGAAGAACGCAGGAACGCACTAAAGGAACGCACTTGCCCAGCTCTGCAAAGCAGGCATATAAGCAATTAGTGCAACCCTAGCTGATAGCTGCTAAGAGGCACACTAAACCTGATTTGACCAAATCTGCACCTAATCTGTACCAGACGTGCACCAAATGTGTACCAGAATCCAGATGGCCGTCGTGAAAACGGCTATTATTTACTTTGTACTTAGGTCCTTATGATCTACGTGTATATCAATTATAATTTTCAAGCCACGCTACCTCGCTGTCCACTGTCCAGCTAAATCAGGAGTCATTTTCTGCATGACTTGGCCCGCGTAGATCCCGTAACCCCTATCCTGATATACGGCAGGTCGCTCCATGCTATATGCGGCTCATTTACCTGACCCGTTCCCGGATCTGGTTGCCGGACATTGGTCTCCGCCACCGGTGGTGTGAAGTGATTAAATCGGCCAGCACGGTCCGGCCGTGTCGGCGCCGACCGGCCGGGGCCGACCGACGGCCACCAAGCCACCATTACGGGCCGTTGGCGAGGCGCGTGAGACACTGATGGCTGGCGTTCATTTCAGGCCGGACAGCCACAATGGCGCCACTATATGGCGGCGCGCCGTGCGCCATCACTCAACCATGCACGATCGTACAGAAATAGCAGTGAACGCTGCGAGCGACATTCAGGGAATCAGAATCGATTTATTTTGCAGTCGGGACAAAATGAAAAAGCAGTTAAATTAGTGTTAGTAATAATTGGTGAAAGCAAAACACCAGTTTGATGTTGAAAAGATTGGAGTTGTTGACACCTACCTTTGCAAAAACAGTTAGGGAATGTCAATAGTCCTATAGATGGTTAATTTAGCATCATTCATGATGCTTTTATATTTTTGATTTTAACAAGAGATCATTCTCGATTAAAAACGCACTTCAGAAGCCGTTGGCGAGTCGAAGCCTCATATCGATAACTCGCTGTGTGCACCGTCCACTAACATCTGTGCCGCTGACAGTGCCGTCCTCTGTCTCGGCAGGATGACCCAGAGGACTCGGCGGCCGAGGAGCGCTCTCTGCTCGGCCGCACGCCCTCCCTCACCTCCTCTGGCTGCAGTTCGTCCTCGTCCCGGGACCTGAAGGCCGACCTGTACACGCAGATCGAGCGGCGCCGCTCGGCGGGCCCGGTGCGGCCGCTCTCCTGCGGCGGCCAGGTGCCGTTCTGGCCGGGCGCGCCGCCCACGCCGCCGGCGGTCGGCACTCCGCGCACCCACGGCCTGCAGCCGCAGCTGTATGAGGTGACCGAGGAGGCCGCCAGCGCCGGCCCTCAGCCCCCCGACCTCGGCCAGCTGCAGTTCAGCCTGGCCTACCGGCCGCAGCAGGGAGCGCTGCTGGTGCGCGTGCTGGAGGCTCGAGACCTGGTGGCACCGGCTCTGCGCGACAGCGCCGACCTGGCGCACTCCAACCCGTACGTGCGCGTGTGGCTGGCGCCCGGGCCGCGCCGCTGCCGCCAGACCAGGGTCCGCCGGCGCACGCAGAACCCGCGCTTCGACGAGACGTTCAGCTTCGATGTCAGCGTGGCGGAGCTAGAGCGGGTGCGGCTGCACCTGCTGGTGAAGGACTTTGACAAGTTCTCGCGTCAGTGTGTGATCGGTGAGGTGACGCTGCCGCTCGCGCAGCTGCATGGGATCTGCGGACAGCTGCTCTGGAGGCCTCTGGCGCCATGTGTGCAGGTGAGCACATACAATTACCCCTGGTAAAGTAAAGAGGTATACGGTCACCTCCTGTGGAGGCCAATGAAGCCCTGTGTTCAGGCTTGCGGTGGGTTTTATGACACTGGGTATGTAACATGGGCATAATGACATCATGGTACGAATGAGCTTATTCAATATGCGAAGACCTTTCATTCATTTTCTCTCCGCGCAGTTCAAATTGAGCTTATGACATCATCGGCAGCGCGGTCAGCGGACAGGCACCGCGCCGATCCCCTACGGGACCCACGGCTATCTTCAGTCAGCCGGTAATCCAAGCCACTATTCTCTAACCGATTTCACTGACGATAACCGAGCGCCCTTGGAGAGAAATGGCCAGGGAGGAGCTCTCGTGCAGTAAGTCCCGGAGATAGGTGGTCCCTCTGAGCGTAGACCAAAACAGACCCATTGCTCATGTGTCCGTCCCGGGCTGCAACTGAGCGCTGGCTGGCGAATGAGTGCGAATTGCCTCGGAAGCGTGGGTCTAAGGAGGCGAGACAATGAGGCAAGACGATAAGATAGGCAACATCAGTTATCCCTGCAGTGTTTGCTGGTTGAATCATTTATAACGTTGATATTCCTTCACATACTTTATATCACGCACTGGCTCAGTTGTGGATTTACCGGCATCGGTTTAGTGATTTGCAGGAAGGCAATAAAAGAGGTTGAAGTTGCTTCACAGCTGAGCCATATAAACTGCGTGGGTGATCAAGATCATCGTTTAAGAAAAACGTGGCAACTATGTATGCAAAAAAAATTGTAACGATAATAATGATAATGGTGCAGATGGAATCACAATTAATATCGTTTTCGCAGTAATTTCGTGAGGACGTTTCTATTCGGTCTAATTGCACCAATATCCATCGCTTGCAACTCCCACCTTATATTCACACGTGAGCTGCAGAGTAGCAATGAACTCTAATCAATGAAAAGTAAATGAGTTAAATTTACGACCGATTTTGAACACACATTTTGTTAGGTAGGTACCTACCTAAAATGTTACTAACTATATACCTAGGCATTATCTACTTCAAGATCTCTATCCCCTACTAAAAGTATGTAAATTTGGAGGAAGTTATACTGTGAGGCCACCAGTGCCACTCCCCAGCTACAGCGCCCGTTCCGGTTCGCTGTCGAGCTGCTTTTAGTACACCGCAGAGTTCCAAAAATACCAACATGCCACCACCCCTCAGCGAACATTGACATCGTTTGAGCTCAAAAGTGCAGCTGTTCGCTGCTCCATAAGGTCAATTTAGGCGCTATATTTAGGCCGGGATGCGAGAAACGGTTACCCGATCCAGTCCACCTGTATCCTGTTCTGTGTGCACCATGTGTAGCGCACGTTTGAGGGCAGAGGTGAGCTTTGCTTTTAATGAGTTTTCGTATTGCACTAACTTTATCAATAATTTTCCAAAGTTCGATGGCTCACTTTTCACTAATTGTGAGAATACAAAGTATGCGTAAATCAATCGCGAATATGGGTATTCCGAGGCTGTTTTGAAAGCTAACAGGACAATGTTGCTGCATATGCATAATCCTTGTGCATAATATCGATTTCCACCTTCAAATATGCAGATGGTATTATGTCTCCGAAGCTGAAGTCAGTTATCGGTCACCCGAGTAAAAACAAACAGCTAGGTTATCGATCGGTGTGTTTGATCAAAACTATCGTAAGATTAGCATAAGCCTGATGAAATGTATTTAGAAACGGAGGATTATTAAGAAGATGATATCATTCTCCTGTTCTATCGGCAACCATGTACAGGTCTCGCGGGTTTTAGCGGTAGGTTTTGCACCTAGAAAATTTAGTGTACTTCAGGCTATATCTTCGTCGTCTTAAGCTTTTAAGTGTTGAAGATGCAATCGACTTGTTGGGTAACAAGCCAGCCATGATCGTGTAAAATGGCTTCATCGTAGATCGATTAGTTTCTGAGATATAACCGGAAATGTAAAAGTGCAAAACCTACCGCTTAATCTCGCGAGACCTGTACTTACATGGAGACGAAAGTTGGTTAGTCACGCTACCTTATCAGATTCGCTCGATCATTTGCAAGCATACTGTGACCTGGCGCGATAGAATTTACAGTTGTCAGGTTTACGCCCGGTATACTCACATGCCTTTATTCACTTTTTTAGGTTTTCTCGATACGGGCTGGCGTGATCCGTCCAACAAGATACCTGAAGGAACGTCTAATCCGTGTTACTAGCAAGCCTCCCAACCCGTCCTAAGCCTTCCGACCCTTCCAACCACACCAGTCTCTTTTGAGATGCTCTGTATTAACCTGACCTGTCCAGCAACACCTGTTTTTATGGTTAATCTGACCTGCTCTGGCCTGTTCACCGACTAGTGTCCAACCACGTCTGTCGTCCTGAGATAACCAGACTTGTTGGACCACACCTGTCTTTCCGAGTTCCGAATCTTACCTGCCTTTCTCACTTGACCTGACCTGACCCAGCCTGTCTAATCGCACCTGTCTCTTTCTGACCTGACCTGTCTTTCTAAGCTGACCTGACTAATTTCTGGTGGTATTTTCAGTACGAGGAGGACTGCGGGGACATTCTTCTGACGATGAACTACCTCCCGCGAGCCGGCCGACTCAATGTCGACGTGGTGCGGTGTCGTCACCTACCCGCCGTCGACCTCAACGGAAGAACTGGTGCGTGTAGTATGGTATATGTCCATACATATCACCGTAACATCAGGTGCTTGTCACCAGTCATCGACGCTAGCCTTACCAGCTACGTCACGTAACACCTCGATGATGTGATATATCGTTGACCGGAAGCAACACTCCTTTTCGACACCTATGTAGTCTTAGCACTTCTGAGTGAGCGTCCTCGTGTCAGATTTTGTCAAGTGATCGATAGATGTGTGACGTGATTCAACAGGTCACTAGTCCAGCCCGATAGCCAATGGGAATTTATCACATTATCACTTGGTCCTACCCACTCAAAATTGGTTGGTATGGCATCTCGAGACCAATTCAAGTGTTCAGCTTAGTTCAATCGCCGCAATCGACTTACCATTTGTTGAACGGCGTATAATCTTTAGCTCATAAGGCTTCTGCTTTGTAAGCCTGCATGTCTACGTTGATCCCTTGACGAGGTTGCACAGCTTCAGCACCTGGCGGGATTGCAAAGTACCACCTCGTATGACTGCTTCTGTCGACGAATTTTCTTTAAATTGCTGCATATTTTAGTTACCGGGTAAAGGGAAATTTACACACAAAATCCATACGCGGCCCTTCAACGTTTTGTCACTTCATTTTGCAGAATGCTTAGACCACACGTCACCATTTCGGTACGTCTTGTTTTCAACTATATTTCACATTAGTTGCGGGAAATCATTCGCATGGCGCTAGTGGTCGATTGTCACAAAAGGAAAGAAATCAGACAAGTCTCCATCCCTCCTGTTCTTCGCCAATAAATCGCGCCGTAATAATTCCATTAACGTCAGATTTTCAGCAGCTATCTAGGATTGAATTACGGATCGTCCCGTGCAAGAAAAAAGTAAATTGGTCCACAACTTTTCTAGTAACAAGGGTGTAAAGTCAAGCATCCTGCCGGGTCGGCGGCCGGCGCCGGCCGTTACTAGCCGCCTGACTGGTAGACTGTGCCGGTGGCGGACGGTCCCGTCTCAGTCTTTGCATTGTGCTGCTTACCGCTGCTAATGGCCGATTCGCGTCAAACCCTCTGTGAAGATTCAGAAATGTTCGGGCAATCTTATGGTAAAAGAATTCGAAAATCATCCGGTAACATTTTGGGTTACAAGGGTGTAAACACAACATTGCTACGGAAACGTTTCCCCCGTCGCGTCGGCCGCCCCCGCCCCAGCCGGCGATATCTTACTCTTATATAGCAGGCTTCTAACTGCCATTGTTATGGTTGGATTAACCCTCGCCCGTAAACGGCGATCTGCCACCTTCGCTCATGCAGGGGGGGGGGGGGTTGGTGCGACCCCCCCCTTGGCATTTGAAAACGGAGCGTCGTAGAGCTTAGCGGAAAAGACCAACGGATTGCTCTCGCCGAGATCTCGCGATTGGTGGTATATTTTTTGGTCCTAGGTCAACATTTGACCTACTTTTGACCGGTCAAAGGTCAAATTTTCGGAAAAATAGACTTTTTCAAATTTTCCGCGGCGATTGCGGTAAAACGGTGGGAGATATCGACTTGAAACCTTCACTATCGTGTTCCTTGATCAATTCTCTATCGTTTGGTATGTATTTCGTTTCCCTAGCTCTAAAAATGGCGCGTTGGGAGCGCCGGAAGTCGGCAAGGTCACAGTCGGCGGCAGAAATTCGAAAAATAAAAATTTAAATTTTTGAAATCTGATTGTATTTTTGGATTTGGGATGTCCATTTGCTCCCTATAGAAGCTAATATTGCTGCATATTCCCATTGAGGTGACAAGAATTAGCAAAATAGTGGTTCGGGCGCTTTTCAAAAATAGTACCGGACGCTGTTCCTCTTGTGACGTCATAGCTCCGTGACCTGACCTGACCCGGTCAAGTTTCTTATACCATATGATAGCCAATACTTGCCCCAACATGCATGGGAAGTTTCATCACGATCCATCAACCGATGTCCGTACCACCGGCAGGAAACCTCGGGCGTTGGCACTCAGTTTGTGAAAATCCGGCCGGAGGCTGTTCCCTTTGTGACGTCATAACTCCGTGACCTGACATGACCCGGTCAAATTTTTTTATCAAAAGATGCGCAAGGTTTGCCCCATAAGGTACCCAAAATTTGGCGGCGCTGCGCGCCGCCGTTTTTGCACTATTTCCGAAAAACCTCAGGGGGGGTTGCACCAACCCCCCCCCTACATGGGCGAGGGTTAAAAAGAGATTCTCCACCCAGATGAATACATGTGTACATGTATAACATGTGTACATGCTTTGAGCATACATGTGTATGCTAAAAAATGTATGCACTCTCGTATAGTAAAAGATATAGGACATTCGGTCCGTAACTTTTTGAGTGATGGGCGTTTTAACACAGCATATTCCCTCACATGGCAAGTTTGGCCACGTTTGACCTCATTTGACCTTGAAGACATTAACCTAGGGTCATGAAATTAGCACACAACAGAGTTTCCTACCGATTCCACCCACCTTCCAAATTTTGTCTTTTTGGCTCCCATAGAAGCTGAGATCTTAAGGGGGCGACGTTGCCCCCCCCCCCCACTGGGCGTAGTTCTCGGAACCCTTCCCCTGCGCGTGTTAAGAAGCGAAATAATGGCATTCAATAAGCGGTTGCAACAATGATGTCGTTCAGTTGTTCCTAACTTTGGACACTGGCTGTTCCTGGTAGTCATAAAGCCCTGTTCCCACCTGCGCTTCATGTTACCACCGCGATCCTCAGCGCACTCACCGGCAATCGGGCTATTTGTCTTCGCTATCTGTTCACGGCCTCTGCCGGCGGAACGTCACTGGTTTGCGGGAAACTGAGGTCATTGAGATGACGTCATTGGCTCCCGACAGGTGCGCGTCGGACCTGCAGCGTCGATCGGGAACTTCCCGGATCGTGTTCTTTAATCCCGTATTAGCTTTTGGAACCGTCACGCTGGGGTGCTCCAGATAGCTTTAAAAGTGTCCGATTCAAATGTTTGCCTGCGATAGATTTTTTTTAGAACGTTGAATAACAATGTGCGCTTACAATTAACTTTTGCTTGTCAAGAGCATAAGCGATTCGGGTTCTGTACAGGGTGGGGCAGCGAAATCGGAAAAAACGACAGGCTGATCTGGTCATATGACATATGAAAGGTATTCCCGATTATGTTGCTTCATCCTGCTTGGAAGCTGACGACAAAGAAATTATTGCATGATGACGTTGATATAACTCGTATCGTTAAAATGGTTTGCGTTTGCCTGGCATATCTGATATGGGTATCCCGTACCTGTTTTTTTACTAAGAAAATGATATGGATGATTCAATGACCCCGATCATTTACCACGTCGATAAAGTGGTTACCAGTATCCGGACAGCCGCAGCAAGACTTGGCCTGCCGCCAAGGACGGTGATTTTCTCAGAAGTTGGCCGGCTCCGCGTCGCAAATCACGGGCACCTTTGTGGCACCGCTATCGCACTATGGGTCGTAAAGCACCATCTCTGAGACCGAGGGCTGGGGAGGGTGTCTATCGGCATGGCCCGGGGTCGCCAGGGTCATGACATCAGGTCATCACCTCCGGCGCAGGCTGATATGGCAGGGGATGTGGTCTGAAGAAAAGAGGGATGTGTTGGACTTGCTCGCTATTCAGACTAATGTTTATACAAATTTGAACACGCCCGTTCTTCACTAGCGGGAGGGTGATGGCGTCTGCTCTAGCGCTTGCAACTTGCAAAGGTGGAGACCTTAATTTTTGGGGTGCAACCAAGCACTCCACTCAGTATTTTTTAAGAGGAAGAGAGACGATCGAAACCAATTGCAAGGACAGATTTTCAGGTCGAAATGTGATTGAAAGGACAAACATTTGAAACCATACACCTCTGTATACATGTATACGAGTACACACACAGAAAAATATTAACACCGTTAGCGGTGTAATTGCACAGTACATATCTGAGCATTTGAGGAAAGTTAATTTAGTCCCTTCCCCGCTTAAATTACTCGCGCTTCTAAATGAACACCAGGAAGAAGGTAATAGAACACTGTTAGGAGGGTTGGGTGTTTTGCTACATGTAGTAAAACACCCAACCCTCCTAACAGTGTTCTATTACCTTCTTCCTGGTGTCCATTTAGAAGCGCGAGTAATTTAAGCGGGGAAGGGACTAAATTAACTTTCCTCAAGTGCTCAGATATGTACTGTGCAATTACACCGCTAACGGTGTCAATATTTTTCTGTGTGCAGAGGTCTATTTTGAAATGGATCATACCGTTTCACGAGTGCGTGCTAATCGAGCAGTCTGATGTTTCAGATCCCTGTGTGCGAGTTTCGCTTGTTCTCGGAGAGAAGCACATCAAAACAAAACGGACAACCTGCCACAAGATGACCACCGATCCGGTGTTTAACGAGCGCATTAGGTGAGTGAAGGTTGAGTGTCTCGAACGCACCCCCCCCCCCCCCCCACCCACCCTACCGCTAGAAGGCTGGTGGCTATCCAACCGTGTAAAACAGTGGCCTTAGCTGTGATTTATATTCAAGAAACTGAATAGTGGCAGTTGTCAGAGTCGCGATTTTGCGCTGTCGTTATTAATGCGGATAATAGGTCTGTGATACATAGTACACACATATGCTTGTGATATGCTTTCTAGTGAGATTTTATCATCTCAATAAAATGTTTTTACGAGCGAGCGAGCGCAGCGAGCGAAGTGAGTCTTTTTTCAATATAACGGAAAAATATCAGTATGAGCGGCCCGGCCCGGCCCGGCCCGGCCTGTAACGCTTTTGAGAGGCTTATATCTCAGCAACCGCTGGACCGATTGGCCTGCGGTCTTTTTTGCTGGGTAGCCCCATCCCTTCTACCCCGTAATTGACTACTTTTGATACATCTCAGTGACCGTCGTGGCACGTGCCACGTGAAAAGTCAAGGGTGTTCAAGCTGTTTTGCAAAAGTAGTGATTTTGAGAGGCTCATATCTCAGCAGCCGCTTGGGCGATTGACTTGCGGTAATTTTTGTAGGGTAGCAGCATCCCTTCTACCCAAAATAGGATACTCTCGATGCATGTGGGTCACCCCCAGTGCACGTGCAAAATACAACAATAAGAGGTGCCAAATTTGTTCCCATTTCAGTAACTCGGTAATTACTGGGGCGATTTCGCTGAAACTTGGCATACAGGTAGGCACCCACCAGGAAATGCATTCCCATGTGTTGCGGTTAGGGTGCTACTGCACGTGCGCACGTGCAGGGGGCGTTTCCAGATCTCGAGAACGGCTGGGCCGATTGCGCTCAAATTTGGTACACGGTTGGGGACCAGTTAGTAGGGTGCCGTGCAAAAGTCATTTTGGACCCCGTTTGCACGTGCGCACGTGCAGAATGCCGCTTCCAGCTCTCAAGAACGGCTGGGCCGATTGCGTTCAAATTTGGCACACCGCTAGCGACCAGTTAGAAGGGTGCTTTGCGCAAGCCCGTTGGAAGCGCCCTCTCGCCCTTCCGCACGTGCAGGGCTCACTATCTCGCTCGCTCGTTCTTCGCCCAAAAGGCGTTTTACTGGTTTCATATTTCAGTCGTACATGGTATTTTTATCGTCGTTCGTTCTATTTTTGGCATAGCCCCATCCCGTGTCGCAGTTACCACTATAATTGAATCATTTATCGTTTTCAGTCTTTTGATAATTTTCTCAATTTGTTCTTTTACTATCTGTCTGACGGAAAGCCACAGTCGCTTAATCGACCGCTGCCTTTTGAGCCAAAGGGCAACAGTTAACGAGAGTTTGAGCACGAACGAGGGATAATTTCAACCCTCTCGAGTCTCGTCTTGTCGAGGCGAAATGAGTGTCGAGGGTGTGCTGCTTCAACCGAGCCCAGAAATAGAATAATGATATGCGGTCGGATATTGAGTGTCATGGAACTTAAGCATGCAGGTTCACAATTTTATTTTAACATCGATGGGATGAGCCTAAATTTTCCTGAAATCAATATACTCCGATTTATTTTCTTACACAAAAGCTGGAATTTAAATGACAAGGAAGCTGGAAGGATGACTGAAGAGACCAGAGATCTTCCTCAAACCGAAATAATACATTAGACACTCATGTGATGGAGACACTCCCACAGGCCTCGTGGCCTGACCTTGCCTCTTTTCTGCTCAAACAAGACCCCAGGTCAGCGACTGTGACTGCTGGCTCTATGATCTCGTGCTGATTGGCGTGTGAACCCCTCAGTTTCAGTGTGATGCCTGCCGAGGTGTCGGAAGTCACCCTAGTGCTGTCTGTGTGGGACGTGCGTGCTACTGCGGTCCGACAGGAGCCCATCGCCAGACTGGCGTTCGGTCGACACTCTACCGGTGGGTGACACAATCACTGTATGTCTTGTCTGTCTGTCTGTCTGTCGGTCGGTCGGTCGGTCCGTCCGTTCTGCCGTCCGTGCGTCCGTCTGTCCGTATAATTGACTGACTCACTTTATCACACATCATTCTCAATTTGCCCTGCTTCTCTCTCTTTCTCTCTTTCTCTCACTCTCTCTTCCTGACCTGACCTCATTATAGCAATTGCCCCATCTCTACGAGTATGCATTCATGTTTGCGCACTTCTTTCGTAGTCTTCTACAGCTTCACCCCATGTTTGGACAAGCCCTCATGCTCGTAATTCACATCACTATACAAAGAACGTCATCATGTACCTACTGCTAAGAAAGTGGAGCAATAGTCCTATCATGATAACAGATTGCAGTACCAGTACCTATGCGTAATCGTCTAGTCCTAATCTGCAGCTGTAACCATTGCATAGTTACCTTATAAAAAAAGCTGTAACCAGTAAATGTACATCACGGACTGTACTTTATGGAAACCTAGGAAATAATCAGCTTCAATAATCAGTTGCATTCAACAGTCTGCGGAGGCCATGCCTCCTTGGTAAAGTCACGTTTCATTTCACTGCCATCATGATTCATTTTATCAATATGCTCGTATCAGATCTGCGTGATTGACATGACCAAAGCAATTGACGGACCTGGAACGAATATTATGTATTGATCTACTAATTGACCTTATTGATACGAATGATGTGACTAGCGGGGCTGAGGCGGTTCGGAAGTTTTCTATACGGACCGCACCTTATCAAATAAGACGCACGACTCTGCACGTTCGCGGGCATATGACGTGTCCGATGACGATGCTGATGGATCAATGATTGACGAAACTGACGTATCTGACTGACGAATTGAGGCTGTCGAACCACTGGTACCTGAGTGACGTTACATTTGGTTGTTCCACGTCAATTGATGTGTGGCCTGTGTCACTGGCTTATTTTACTGATGCTATATGACTAACTACTACTATGGCTACTAACTATACGTTACTGACGTATAGTATGTGAGTAGTTTGTCAACTTCATATGCAGCTGAGTCACTGGCGTTGTCCATTGATAAACGTTTTCGACTTACTACCGAGTGCCGACTGACGTCATTAACATTAACGACGCGCCTCAATGACGCTAAAGAACGACGTGACTGACGTTATCGACTAGCATCACTGCCGAATGCCGACATAGCGTCAGTAACGTTTTCTATTGCCATCAATATCGTTTTCGACTAGCCTCACTGTCGAGTGCCTAATGACGTTGCTGGCGTTTTGGACTGACGTCACTGACGTTTTCGACTAGTCTCACTGGCGAGTGCCGACTGACTGACGGCCTCACTGACGTCCCTGTGTCCGGCAGGTCCGGAAGAGGTGGCCCACTGGTCCCACATGATCCGCGCCCATCGCTCCGCAGGAACCCAGTGGCACAGACTGAAAACCTACACATTCTGCCATAAGGTAACACATAGTTCGAACGCTGGTCATCAGACCTGATATTTCCTGAACGTTACCGCAGGCCTAGGGGACTTCAAGGCTAAATAATTTACCAATATGCACAGAAGGACCTAACGATAAGCGTGACATGTTTGTCAAGTTAGCTTTTTTAAGAGAAACAAAACGCAGTACCATGTCATAGAGGCGGATGTTATCCGTGTCACAGTTGTATAATCTCGGTGTGAACAGAAGCCTTGGCGAGAGTGGAGGCCGGAGGCCAGATAAGGCGCTATGAGCTGTCGTGTCTGCGTCGACCCTCGAGCCTATCTGTTTCGTATGTTTGCCGATCTTGGGTAGATTTCCTGTCCTCCGTGCGCCAGTACCGCAGTCCGCATGTATCAAACGCAGTACAAAAACCACGATGGCGTGCTGAGCCGAGATCGGGGATTGCTTCAACTCGCATTTGGTAACAAAGTTTGTGAGGCCTCCATGTTGCCGTGTCTGAACTAGAGGTGGCAAAAGATGAAAATTTTGGGAACCAGACTCGAACCAGACCCGGCTGGACATTTCTGGAACCAGTCGGACCCGGTCTTAGTTGGAATCGGAACCAGTTGGACCCGTTCCCCAAAAGTCAATTAATACAAACTACTTGTAGGTATCATTAGTTGCATCATGTAAAACAGCATATTTCCCACTGGGAATACTCATGAGATACTGTGTGCAAAGAACCATTCACTTCATATTTTGCGGTAATGTGCAGTGTGCAAGATGTATAGTTAATGGTAGGACCCGGTTGGACCCGTCAGAAAAGTTCCAGGAACCGGTCTGGACCCATATGGGTCCAGACTGGTTCTTTGGACCGGGTCCTCGGGTCCACATTTTGCCACCTCTAGTCTGAACTAGGTGTCTCATGGCCGAAGTTCGATGTTAGTTTGTCTATTGGTCTTATAGAGGGCTGACAGTTGACAGTTGACATTTGCGTTTCCCGGAGTTCATCTCTCTAAGCCCGAAGGCTGCCTGCGTCCTTTGCATTTATATTGCAAAGGACAAAGAAAGAAAAAAGGCGACAACTTGCAAAACCGTCAAATGTTAGCAGAAGCCAGAATCGTTGCTTTACTTCTGGTAACGGAACGTCTTTCCTATTCTCCACAGGTATCGCCAGCATCTCGCATAGTTCCATGAATCAGCGCTGGACGAATGTCTCGCATCGTTTCGTGAATTAGTGCTGGCGACTCGCATCAGAACACATGCGTGAGAACAGAGCCGTCCCGCTCCATCCACAGTGCGGCGGTGTCTCAGGTCGGGTCACCACTCGGGTCAGGTCAGGTCAGAGCGTGGCGTAGCGGGCTCTAGCGAACATGCGAAGCAGCATCTAGTGACAGCACCTGCTGTATTTGCCACCTGAGACCCGGTCAGCCGGTATGTGCGGACCGTCCAGTGTCGACACTCGCTAAGGGCGCCGACAGACAACCACACGTGTGACGTTCCCAGACGGGCAGCTCCGGTCGACAGAGGGTGCGTGGACTGTATGTCTGTCAGCAGGCAGGCCGGGTGGCACCAGCTGGGCTCTGCCACTCCGCGCAGGGAACCACGAACTGTCTGCCAGCCCCAGCAGTCGTGGGCTGTATTGGACTGCATGGGGAGAGCCATGACAACTGGCACCAGCCGAACTCCAACGTCGAGGAACAACGACTGTGTGCATGGGATGGGATGGGGCCGGCATAGAAAGAGTTACGAACTGGATGCCACCGGCCGAGCTGTGATGGAACATGGAAGAGTTACGAACTATGTAGGTGCCACTGGGTGAATGTACTGAATCGGACCGCAGTCAACTGACGCGTTTGTCATTGCCTTGACACGTGACTGTCTTGGAAGTCAAGTTCTAGACTCAGTCAGGCACAGCGATCTAACGCATCGACAAGCAGTGTTTATCCCGAACGGCTGACGATAGCTGATGTCAGTCAAAGACAGATGATAAAAGCGTCCACGATCACTCACATGCTCGCGCAAGTGATGATCTGTTACTCGTGATAAGCGCTTAGTTATATGTGCATCGATCACACCTGCGCACTGGAGCCTGGCATGTGGTCAGCGGTATCACAAAATGTGAAACGTTATAATGGAGTGTTCTATGGAGGTGAACTAACTACATTGGGCGTAACACATTTGCGTGCTGCGTCACAAAGATAAATGATGACCATTCCCACCACCCGTGATAGGCAATGTTTATGTAATGCAGCAAAAGTCCCAATTGCAATAGTGGAAGAAGATTAACAGCAGGTTCAGTATCACGCCAAATTTGTGAGGGGGTTTAAATGCTGTAATCGTGTTTGGATATAGTTGTTTGAGGAACTTATCAGTAGTACGATACGGACGATACTTTTGGAATCTATAAGAACTCTGTGCGATGCAATACTCAGACCGTTGAAACAAAGTATCTGGCGTTTATCGTCACACAACAACTCTTTCCGACTGCATCCACTCAAAATGGGATTTTCGCTGCATCTAGTTATCCCTCGCCCTGGCAGGGCATTTTTCATAACACGGCCTGGCAGGGGGGGGGGGGTCGAGGCGACCCCCCTCGCGATTGGCTCCTATGGCACCTAGAAACACCAAATTTTGTAGGTAGGTGGGGTCCCCTAGAG